TCGGTGGCTCAGCCTGTAATCCCAGCACTTTGGGACGCCCATGCGGGTGGACTGCCTGAGCCTGCGGGTTTGAGACCAGCCCAGGCAAGTTGGCAAGACCTAGTCTCTACAATAAATCAAAAATTAGCCAGGTGTGGTAGCACGCACCTGTAGTTCTGGCTACTTGAAAGGCTGAGGCGGAAGGATCACCAGAACCCAGCAGGTCGACACTGGCCATGAGTGTGCCACTGAGACTCCTACTCAAAAAATGATAATAATTTAGGTGTGGCCAATGTGATAGTATTAAAAGGTGGGGCCTTTGAGAGGTGACTAGGTCATCAGGGCTGCTCCCTACTTAATGGGAGTAAGTCTCTTATAAAAAAGTCTTTATGAAATGTTCTCTGCTAGCTTGCTCTTTCATTCTCTCTTGCCCTTCAGTCTTTTGCCATATGAAGATATCACAAGAAGGCCCTCACCAAACAATCAAACCTTCTGGCACCTTGAACTTGGACCTCCCAGTCTCCAGAACCGTGAGGAAATAGATTTCTGTTCTTTGTTGTAGCAGAACAAAATGGACTGAGACATATGCATAGAGAAAAGAGTGTACATGTGGGTATGCTGAGCAACCAAGGAGTTGGATTTAATGGACATTGCATTTGTCTCTTTTTTCAGTTTTCTTTATGTAGGCCTCTTCCTTTTGATGATTGCTACCTTATTCTTCATGTAATTCAAGAGTCATTTACACCCTACCTTTAGCCAAACCACTTGGTTGGGTATGCAACTAAGTCAGCTAGAATTTTTCTTCTAGGAATTTAATTCTTGAGTGGCAGTGAAGGCAATTGGTGTTGAATTATCACAAGAAAAGCATCCCGGAATCCCCTGAGCAATCATGGGACATGGGAGGTTCTAGTAGAAATTAAAATTTGATTTTCTGCATTAAAGAGAAAATCCAAATAAGTGTCTTGGAAAATATTAAGTTTGTTTTTCATCTGGATCGATGTCTTGAGGCAGGAAGTTCAGATGGATGTGGCCTCTTTACAAGATCACTCTGCTCTACCATCCTTAGTCTTTGGCTCCTACTTTCAGGTTCCAAGTCATGACGTGTGTGGAATGCAGGCAACTAATTTTGCATCCTAAGAAAACATCCTCTAAAACTATAGGAAAATAATTTTCTTAAAAACAAAACCCCCATAAAGACAAGGAAAACAGGAATGGGAGACAATAACAACATTTTGGAAGTATAAAAGCAGATGGAAGAATGGTAACTAACTTAGAATCTTAGAAAGCTGAATTCCAAGTTGACAGTGTGAATGCTGAGAAGCAGTTGGATTTACCGGCCAGAATTCTGAAAAGGCTAAGAAACTGGCAGCACCAAGCAGCTCCAGAAGTGGGAATGGAGAGCACCAAAATAAGGTATGAAAGGTATTTGAGAAGGCGATTGGATTTCTAAATTCTCTCCCAACTTTATGTCAACGAGAGGCTACTCTTCCCCACATTGCAGAAATCTGGAGGCATCTTCTCAGGAGAAGGGTAAAACAAAGAGTGCCCAGACTCAGGGATGTTAGGCATAATCAAGGGCATGGGTACCATGCTGAAAACAGGTTATCAAGGGATCGTCTCCCCAGCGATTGGTGAGTACAAAGATTCTCTCTACTCCCCCAACACTCCTAACCCACTAGGATTAGAATGCTGGTTCCTAGGTCACTGTATTCCAGGTAGTAGGTTGGAAAAACCTCCTCTGGTGAACCAAATAACACTGAATGATAACGAGGAGCCCCAACAAATGGCTCACCCAAATCACCATGTATGAAACCAAGAGTGATGAGGTTCAGCTACACTTAACTATGGGCAAACAATCAAGAATGAACAGATATAAGAAAAAGCCTCCGAAAAAGAAATCAGAGATCAAAGCTCATCAGAGCAAAGCAATTTAGGGTAAGCAAGTGAGGGTAAACTAAATATATGTTTAGACATCTCAAAATATTGATTGCCCAAGCATCCTTTCTTAAGTTGTTGGAGGATGTGCTATACCCAAATGAGAGACAACCTAGAAGAAAGAACATGAGAGAGAAGAGCTTAATCCCATAGGGAGGTGTAAGAGTTCACCAAGATGTTGAAGAGGCAGGACTGGCCTCGAGGGTAACCGGGCAGATTGTAGTAGAGTGGCTTATGAGACAGACAAGTTGAGGGCTGTCATCACTAAATGACTGCTGCCAGTCCATCATCTATTTTGTTTTGTTTAAAATATGAGATAAAGGGCCGAGTGCAGTGGCTCATGCCTGTAATCCCAGCACTTTGGGAGGCCGAGGTGAGAGGATTGCCTGAGCCCATGGGTTTGAGACCAGCCTGGGCAACATGGTGAGATCTCATCTCTACAAAAAATTTTTGAAAAATTAGCCAGGCGTGGTAGCTCATACCTGTAGTTCCAGCTACTTGGAAGACTGAGGTGGAAGAATTGCCTGAGCCCAGCAGGTTGAGGCTGTGGTGGCAGTGAGCGTGCCACGCACTCCAGCCTGGATGACATAGTGAGACTCCGACTCAAAAAAAATTTTTTTTTAATGAGATGAACAGCTGGGCGCAGTAACTCATGCCTGCAATCCCAGTACTTTGAGAGGCAGAGGTGAGAGGATTGCCTGAGCCCAGGGGTTCCAGACCAGCCTGGGCAACTTGGCGAAACCACATCTCTACACTAAAAACGAAAAAAAAAAAAATAGCCGGGTGTGGTGGTGCATGCCTGTAGTTCCAGTTACTTAAGAGATTAAGATGGAGCCGGGCTCGGTGGCTCAGCCTGTAATTCCGCGCTTTGGGAAGCTGAGGTGAGTGGATTGCCTGAGCCCGCAGGTTCGAGACCCGCCTGGGCAACTTGGCGAGACCTCATCTCTGCAATAAATCAAAAAATCAGCTGGGCGTGGTAGCACGTGCCTGTAATTCCGGCTACTCGGAAGACTGAGGTGGAAGGATCGTCGAGGCTGTGGTGGCCGGGAGCGGCCAATGCACTCCAGTCTGGGCGACAGAGTGAGACTCCAACTCAAAAAAAAAAAAAAAAAAAAAGAGAGATTAAGATGGAAAGATCTTGCCTGAGCCCAGCAAGTCGAGGCTGCAGTATCTGTGAGTGTGCCACTGTCCTCTAGCCTGGGCCACAGAGTGAGACTCCGATTCACACACACACAAAATGGAGATGAAATTAATACATAATGAGGTAAAACCTAATAAAATTAATCATTTTAAAGTGAACTGAACCATTCAGTGGCATTTAGTATCCACAGTGTTGTACAGTCACCACCTCTATCTAGTTCTAAAACAGTTTCATTATCCCAAAAAAAACCTCTTTTTTTTTTTTTTTTTGAGTCGGAGTTTCACTTTAGCATCAATGGTTACTCCCCATTCACCCACCTCCTAAGCCGCTGGTAGTCACCAAGGTGTGTTCTGAACCAGCAGTGAGTATGAGGATTTGGGCACTTGAGCAAGGAAAGAGACTTGACCACTAGGTGGCAGTAGCAAACACTGAGGTTTACGAGATTGACGTCTTGACAGGATTGTTTGCCTGGCAAGGATACCTCCCTCACAGCATGGCATCTACAGATATTAGAGACCAACAGCCAGAAGGGGAGGAGAGCAAGGGATCTCCCCAGGGAGAGAAGGCTTACATGAGCAAGTGAAGCCATTCCACATCAAGGTGGAGAACCTCTGGTCAAAGAGCTCCCAGGGCAGCTGTGGCCTAGGGCCATTTATAGACCCAAGGTGCTTTTATTAATGGGTAGGAGGTACTGTGCATTTCTATGGGGCAAGCTCTAAATTAGCCTAAGAATATATTTATTGGGCTATGTTTTAAAAAATTGGGAGCTAGGCATGGTGGCGTAAGCCTGTAGTCTCAGCTACCTAGGAGGCTGAGGTGGAAGGATCACTTGAGCTCAAGAGGTCAAGGCTGCAGTAAGCTATGGTCTCACCACCGCACTCCAACCTGGGTGACAGTGCAAGGCCCTGTCTCTAAGACAACAAAAACAAAGCACAATTGGATGTGTAAACATCTGAGTATGACACTGATGGGCTTTTGAGCTAAAAGTATTAGCCTGCTCCAGAGAATTAAAAAAATGTAATGGCCAATGTACACAAACATTTGTCTCTATGAATTTCCCCATTCTGGAAATTTCATACAAATGGAATCATGCCATATTTGACCTTTTTGCATCTGGCTTCTTTCCTTAGCATAATGTCTTCAAGGTTCATTCATATTGTAATTTGTGCCAGATGCTACATTCTTTAAAAAGAATTTCATCCTTTTTTAGAGACTAAATAATATTCTGGAGGACGACAGGGACGTGGGTGTGGTGGAGCTGTGATCCTCCCACTCCTGCTCCTGACTCACTGCTGAGAAAAAAGTCAGTCAGGAAGCCACGCTGCAGCCATGGCTTTTTTTTTTTTTTTAATTTGAAACACATTTATTTAATGAACTGGATCTCAAAGGAATGACATCAAAAAGCTAAAATTGTAGGCTTTTGTGATATTCTAATTTGATTCAAAAAATCACGGCCAATTCACATGAAAAATAACTTCTTTGAAAAAAGTATTTTCTTTCCCCCGATGAGAATATATAATCACTTTGGTATTTTTTTGTTTTTTGTTTTTTACCTTTAAATTTTTTATTTTAAAATTGTGGGATACAATTCAGGGTTAGGTATACAAATATTCATTGTGCAGGTATCCTTGTTGATGAGGTAGCCATGGCTTTTTTCTTTTTTTTTGTTTTTTGAGTTGGAGTCTCACTCGGTCGCCCAGACTGGAGTGCAGTAGCCACTCCCGGCCACCACAGCCTCGCCTGCTGGGTTCCGGCGATCCTTCTGCCTCAGCCTTCCAAGTAGCCAGAATTACAGGCACGCGCCACCACACCCGGCTGATTTTTTGATTTACTGTAGAGATGAGGTCTCTCTGCCCAGGCAGGTCTCGAACCCGCAGACTCAGGCAATCCACTCACCTCAGCCTTCCAAAGGTGCGGGATTACAGGCTGAGCCAGGAGCCCGGCTAGCCATGGCTTTTAAAGACACCGGCAAGATACCAGTGGAGCCGGAGGTGGCGACCCACCGAATAAGGAACACCCTCACCAGTCGCAACGTGAAATCTCTGGAGAAAGTGTGCTCTGACCTGATCAGAGGTGCAGAGGAAAAGAATCTCAAAGTGAAAGGGCCAGTTCGCATGCCTACCAAGACTTTGAGAATCACTACAAGAAAAACTCCTTCAGGTGAAGGTTTCAAGACATGGGATCGCTTCCAGATGAGAATCCACAAGCGACTCCCCGACTTTCATAGTCCTTCCGAGATTGTCGAGCAGATTACTTCCGTCAGTATTGAGCCGGGAGTTGAGGCTGAAGTCACCATTGCTGATGCTTAAGTCAAGCATTTTAATAAATTGATTACACTTGTTAAAATAATAATATTCCATTGTTTGAATCTAACAAAATTTATCTATTCATCTGTTGAAGGGCATTTGGGTTGACTACACCTTTTGGCTACTGTAAATAGTGGTGCTATAAATGTGCCTGTTCAAGTATTTATCTACCATCTTTCTTTCTTTCTTTTTTAAGATTTTCTCACTCTGTCGCCCCGGTCTGAGTGCAGTGGCATCATCACGACTTATCACAGCCTTGACCTCCTGGGCTCAGGCGATCCTTCTGCTTCAGCCTCTCAAGTAACTGGGACTACAGGCATACGCCACCATGCCTGGTTAATTTTTTGTAGAGATGAGTTCTCGCTATGTTGCCTAGAGTGGTGTTCAACTCCTGGGGTTAAGCAATCCTTTCGCCTCGACTACCAAAGTGCTGGGATTATAGATATGAGTCACAGTGCCCAGAACTATCTAGCATCCTTTTACTTTTTTTTTTTTGAGTTGGAATCTCACTCTGTCATCCATGCTGGAGTGCAGTAGCACACTCATAGCCACCACAGCCTCCACCTGCTGGGCTCTGGCAATCCTTCCAACTCACCTTCCCAGTAGCTGAAACTATAGATGTGCGTCACCATACCATAAATCAATGTTTTTGATTTACTGTAGAGGCAAGGTCTCACCGAGTTGCCCAGGCTAGTCTCGAACCCTTAGGCTCAGGGAATCCTCTCACCTCGGCCTCCCAAGGCTTGAGCCACCACACCAGTCTATCTAGCATCTTTTTAACTGGAAGATAAAAATATGGTTCCCGCTTGTCCTTGGCTTGTCTGGACCACTGTGGATGCAGTTCCTGCTCTCTCCTCTAAGTCCAACAGTTGAGGGCACTCATTCACCCCACGAAAGAGTGGTATTTGACCATCTCCTGAGAGCTTGGTGAAGGCCACAGTGAACTTAAAACCAGAAAACACAGAGTAGCACCCCCTACCCTCATTATATCTCTGCTACATTCTCAGTCTACTGCCCTGATATAGTCAGCCCCATGAGTAGGACTCACTCATGCCAACCTCTTTAGAAGGGCTCATATACACTCTCAGAGAATCTGGTCCCAGCTATGATCCAGAGTAGGCCTGGCTCAAAAGTGCAAATGGAGGCATATGTGTTATATACCACCAGGTTTCTCCTCATGTCACCCAGTCCAGACTGGGCAAGCTGTAGTCCATCTTTCTGCCAGCATCTTATTTTATCACTCAAAGGAATCTGAGGCTACAAGGCTGGGTTTGAATTTAGAATCCTTGAACTTACAGTCAAGCTCCCAGGCAGGACCCCATTTCTTCCTGCACTGGCACCGTTCCAACTAGCGAGAGGCCTTGTGCGCATGGGTGTGTGTCCTCTAGCCCAGCTGTCCACACTCCTTTAACACTTCTTGTAAACTGCTGCTGGTGGCCACCCCACGGGTCTAAACAGAAGCAACTCAGCCGTTGCACTGCTTGTCTACCCACCTTTGAGAAGATGGATTTGAGGACGCAACCCATATAGCCTCTGGAAGTTGGCCTGGACTGTTTGTGAAGGAATTTCTGAGTTTCTAGGTTGTGGAGCATGGTCTAAAAGGGGGACAGCTCCGACTGTGGGAGCGCCTAATCCCTTAGCTCCTTGGACTTTCCTTTTTTTTTGTTGTTGTTGGAGTCTCGCTGCCCAGGCTAGAGTGCTGTGGCATGCTCACGGCCACCACAGCCTCAACCCGCTGGGCTTAGACAATCCTTCCACCTCAGCCTTCCAAGTAGCTGAAACTACAGACACATGCCACTATGCCCGGCTAGTTTTTGTAGTTTTTTGTAGAGATGAGGTCTCACCAAATTGTCCAGGCTGGTCTTGAAACCCCTGGGCTCAGGCAATCCTCTCTCTTTTGCCTCCTGAAGTGCTGGGATTACAGGATGAGCCACTGTGCCTGGCCTGGACTTTTCTAAAGGGCCTAGCTGGGGCCAAACCTTCTTGCCTGCTTCAAGGTAGTACTGACCCAAACACTCATTTGACTTAGCCTTTAACAGCTGGGCCTGTGCTTACTCCTCGGGTTTTCAAAAGTAAAACAGAATGTCTAGAGATAAATATGTTGTGTGTGAACACTATGGAAAAGCCAGGGGATTTTTTTTTTTTTTTTGAGTTGGAGTCTCACTGTGTCGCCCAGGCTGCCATGCAGTGGCATGCTCATAGCCACTGCAGCCTTGACCTGCTGGGTTTAGTAATCCTTCTGCCTCAGTCTTCCAAGAGTAGCTAGAACTACAGGCATGTGCCACCATGCCCAGCTAATTTTTAAAAATGTATTTATTGTAGAGATGAGGTCTCACCAAATTGCCAAGGCTAGTCTTCAATCTCTGGGCTCAGGTAACCCTCTCACGTTGGCCTCCCAAAGTGCTGGGATTACAGGCTTGAGCCACCATGCCTGGCCTAGCCAAGGGATAATTTTTTTTTTTTTGAGTTAGAGTCTCACTCTGTCGCTCAGACTGGAGTGTAGTGGCCGCTCCTGGCCACCACAGCCTCAATCTGCTGGGCTCCGGCGATCCTTCCAGCTCAGCCTTCCAAGTAGCCGGAATTACAGGCGCGCGCTACCACGCCCAGCTAATTTTTTATTTATTGTAGAGATGAGGTCTCACCAAGTTGCCCAGGCGGATCTCGAACCCGCGGGCTCAGGCAATCCACTCACCTCAGCCTTCTAAGGTGCGGGATTACAGGCTGAGCCACCGAGCCAGCTCCAAGGGATAATTAACACAACAAGTAGGACAGCAGTTATCACTGGAAGAATGGAGAGGGGATATGACTGTAGAGTAGAAGTGTAGTGGACAACTCCTAAAATGCTGGGAATGTTGATTTCGTTCTGTGTGTGTGTGTGTGTGTGTGTGTGTGTGTTGGAGTCTCACTCTGTTGCCCAGGCTGGAGTGCAGTGGCATGCTCACAGCCACCCCAGCATCGACCTGCTAGGCTCCGGTGATCCTTCCCCCTCAGCCTTCCAAGTAGCTGGAACTACAGGCACGTGCTACCATGCCCGGCTAACTTTTGATTTGTTGTAGAGACGAGGTCTTGCCAAGTTGCCTGGGCTGGTCTCAAACCCGCAGGCTCAGGCAATCCTCTTGCCTTGACCTCCCAAAGTGCTGGGACTACAGGCTGATCCACCAAGCCCAGGCGGGAGTGTTGATTTCTTAACCTATGGGTGGGCATATATTTTATTTTATTATTTTATTTATTTATTAGGCAGGGTCTCACTCTATTGCACTGGCAGAAGTGTAGTGGCATGATCATGGCTCACCACAGTCTTGCCCTCCTGGGCTCAGGTAATCCTGCTGCCTCAGCCTCCCAAGTAGCTGAGACCATGGGCACACATCACCACATCCAGCTAATTTTTTGATTTTTTTTTTTTTGGTAGATACGAGGTCTTGCTATGTTGTCTTAGCTGGTCGCAAACTCCTGGGCTCAAGTGATCCTTTTGCCTTGGTCTCCCAAAATGCTGCAATTACAGGCATGGGCCACCGTGCCCAACCAAGTGTTCATTTTATTATTATTATTCTTTAAACTATGTATATGTATAACCAAGATTAGATATCCAAGGTGGGAATATGAGACCGAATAATTGGTATAGAATCCAACAATACATGCAATTTCTGCCCTTCTATTTTCTTTCTTTCTTTTTTTTTTTTTGAGTTGGAGTCTCACTTTGTAACCCAGACTGGAGTGCTCCCGGCCACTGCAGCCTCGACCTGCTGGGCTCCAGCGATCCTTCTGCCTCAGCCTTCCAAGTAGCTGGAACTACAGGTGTGCGCTACCACGCCTGGCTAATTTTTTATTTATTGTAGAAATGAGGTCTCGTCAAGTTGCCCAGGCAGGTCTCAAACCCGCGGGCTCAGGTAATTCACTCACCTCGGCCTCCCAAGGCGCGGGATTACAGGCTGAGCCACCGAGCCGGCTCCTAGTCTTCTTTTGATGGGTATCTTGGTTGGTTCCATGCTTTTGCTATTGTGAATAGTGCTGCAATGAACATATATGTGCAGGTGTCTTTCTGGTAGAGTCGTTTGTGGTTCCTTTGGATATATTCCCAGAAGCCGGAATGCTGGATCATATGGTAGCTCAATTTTTAGTTTTTTTCAAATTCAAAGCATTTTAAAAGAAGGCAAATTAAAAATTCCACCACAGCTCTCCTAGACCTTATGTTTTTAGGTAAAACTAACATATTGAGCTATTACTATGTTTGAAGCCTTGTGCTAAAGTATAATACATAAGTTGATTCAATCAGGGAGAAGCACCAGGAAAAGTACGATACAAGTCACTTTCACAGTGACATGTTGTCCAGTAAAAATCCCGCTGCTACGTCTTTCTAGTTTAACAACTTTTTTTTTTTTTTGCCACAGTAGACACTCAGATTTTGCAAATGAGGCACCCACATTCCTTAGGGTCAACCTCATCATGGTTGGTAAAATGGCATAGGCATTCTTTCTGGATTACTCATTATTTAAAAGTACTGAAATTTGTCCCATGGTCAGATCACGTGTTCCAATTTTAGTTTTTAAAAACTAGGCACACTACTCCTGACCCAGGACATAACTCCTACGGCCTAACTTTTTACCACCAGAGATCTGTGCCCTTCATCCCAAAGTGGGTATAAAAAGCAAAGATGTGGAAGACTACATGGGATTGAATCCTAGAGTGTTTGGGGGGGAAAGTCCCTAATCTCATTTTCCACGTCACTCAAATGCAGGGCTGCATTAGATAGCTGCTTCAGGGTCCCTTGCCTCGGCAGACTTCTGTAATTTAAACGCATCCCTTCTGGGAGGGAAATTCTTACAGAGCCCCTGCGGTAGCTAGCTGAGGGGCGGGTCATCCGCAGGGTAGGAGGAATCTGGTTTCTGTTTGAAAAGCCTTCCCTGGGTGAGCATCCCGCGCCAGCAACAGAGCGCGCCCCGGCACCACGTGTCTGCGCCAGCTGCGGGATTGGCGGAGCGCATTTTAGCGCTGCGGTCTAGACGCCGGCGGTCCCGCCCAGCTGCCAGAAGAGCTTGGCCGCCC